CAGATGCTCAGAATGTTCCCATCAGCTTCGGTAGGCTTTGGGGATTATGTTGTCCAGAGAGAAGCATGTGCTCATGTATCTCTGCTTGCCTCTCATGCCTAGGTGCTTCCATAACATTCTTCCTCTTCCAGTAACACTTCAAAATCTATTTCATTGGTTTAAATTTCCACCTCTTCACCTACCTGGCAATTAGAGAGGTTGATGATTGCCAGGCACTTATTAGATGGAGTCATAAGCAGTTCTGCTTCTTTGGGCAGCTATAAATGCCTTAAAAGCATCCAGGCAGCTTTTCAGTCTTTTCTTGAGAAAAACAATAAGTGGACCCCTCCCTTGGGTTCCCAAACCTAACAGGGTCTGTCCGGGAATTTTGCAGTCACCACTAAGTCTAGGCTATCTTGGTACAAACCTGTTCAGTGACCTGGGTTGATGATAAACTCTGCTGATTACATTTCCAACAAAGTTGGAGTTTCAAGGATTAAGCAGAGTTCTCTCCCTCGGGAAAGATGCCTTGGTGAGGGATTCCTGGGATTATCCCCTTTTGCTGGACCTAGAGTTCCCCAACTGAACACAACTTTGTCACCAGGATTTTTTGTTCGTTGGACTGCCACTGCATAAGGGAAAAAGAATTTCTCTTGGAGCCAGTATTTTCCAAGATGTCCAGCAACATTTGTTTCTTGGGCTCCTGAATGGGACCGTGTATGTGAAAGCATATGAAAAGGTATGAGTGCTAAAATAAGGAAGAAACTTAAGTAGTTAAAACCCACAGACCTTGATCATAAAGTTGACAGATGCAACTTGATTATAGTATAGCCACCGGGCTCTGGGCTCCAGTGCCATGTTTGAACGGAAGGGTGTGATTTCCCTTTGGGCCCTATGTGTTTAAAGGATGGATGGGATGCCTGTACGTGGGCAGCCCAGGGCCCTGCCAGGTTCATATGCAGCAGGCCCCAGCGAGGAGGGCTGATGACCTCTCTGCCCAGCCAGCCACACACCTAATCCGAAATGCTACTCTTGCACCTGCCTTTGCTCTTGCTGACAGAGTCTATTCCTCCTCTGACAAGACAACAGAAGGACTATTTCCCAAGAAGCTGTGAGCTGTTAAGACAAGTCCAGCCTTTACCTTTCCAGAACTTGCCTGCAGTGGAGAGAAACTGTAGCCATGACTCTGCCCTTTGGCAGGATCCTCCTTTTTCCTCTCCACTGAGCCCTTGTGGACAGACAGCCCCAGTGAAGCGTATGGGGCTCTATCCACAGTCTGTAAGTTGTCTCTGTAAAGTTCCACTGGTTTAAAGAAAAAAAATAAAACCCACTGCAGGCTCCACCTCTGGAACTAGAAAGTCTTTTATCAAACTAAACACCTTTGCAAGTCCTTATGTCAGCCAAAAGGAAAACAACCCAAAATCCAAGTACTCAGCAGTGTTTGGCCTGGTTTGTCATTGTGCTGAGCTGAGTGTCTCTGGGGACACTTGGAGGACAAAGCCCTGCTTATACATGGGGGACCCCATTCCTTATCCAAAGGCAAAGTTTACAGGGTGCTGTGGGACCTTAGATGGGGCTGTTCTGGAATGTAGCACTGCCTTGTCCTGTAGGACATTTAGAAAGTATTCAGTATTATTTAGGTGATATGTAATTTTTTTTTATTGAGGTGAAATTCACATAACATAAAAGTAACCATTTTAAAGTGAACAATTCAGTGGTGTTTAGAATCTTCACAATGTTGTGCAACTACCACTTCTAACTAGTTCCAAAACATTTTCATCACCCCAAAAGGAAACCCTGACCCATTAAGCAGTCACTCTCCATTCCGCCCTCTCCCCAGTCCCTGGCAACCACCAATCTGCTTTCTGTCTCTCTGGATTTATATTTAGGTAGTATTTTTGAGAATCCCAATGACTCTGTTTTCTGAACTAAAAACAATCATGAAATATTAGCATGGAAAATAAACTATTAGCTATGAATAGCAATATAGTTTCCTCCTAATCTTAGTGCTTCACTGATTTCATATGCCTTCACATACGTAGTCTTGTTCAGAAACCCAAGAGACAAACATTGCTGAATGTGGTGGAAATTATCAGCTCCAGGAGAAATTCCTTTTCCCTTACGCAGTGGCGTGTCTGGTACTCTAGCAAATACAGTCACTACCTTGATCTGCTGCATAAGGCATGCATTTGTTTCTCAAGTAAAGATGGAATAAACCTGAAAAGACAGACTTTGTTCACTGATGAAAACAGACACGTTTTTCATGTGGTAGCCATGGGAGAACTTCATTTAAATTAATTTTAAAAATTAACGTGTAAACGGAGATTGCCACTGTCATATTCTTATGGGTATGAGGGAGAAATATCTCATTCATTCAAAAATATTTTTGTGTCCCTAGTAAGTGCATGACTCCATGAAAGTCACCATTGGGGACACAGTTGTATCAGACACTATTTATGCAAGCATTACATAAGGCATCTCTTTGCTTCACAGTCAAATGTTTTCATTTGAAATATTGATTAACTACAGACTAGAAGCTTCCCTCAAGGAGGTACAATCTGGTAGGAGTGGAAGGACAGGGAAGACAGATAGTTACCGTAGGAGATGTTACATGGTTTGGCCTGTGGCGGGTGGGGGGTTTCAGAGAAGATTCTGTGGTGGATGTGGTCGTGAGCTGGAAGGAGGAGTGGACGTCTGTGCAAGATGGAGTAGAGGACAAGCATGCCCAGTGGAGGGAACAGCCTGAGCAAAGACCCAGTGTGGGAGGATAGTGTGGGCAGCTTTGGGGACCAGAAAGGAGTCCCCAGTATCTGGAGTATGGGCTGATTTAGGGGATGATGGAACTTTAACCTGATATCTTGAGGGCCTTAATGACAGGCTTGAATCTTTTTGTCAGCCCAGTGTGGTGCCTATTTGTGCCAGGCAGTGTCTTCCGAGCTGGGGAGGTGGAGGTGCACACACACCCTGCCATTGTCTAATGAGGGAGGATCAAGTAATTACAAGTTCACTGAGTATCTCACAGAAGATGTGTAAGGTGTCATGGGTGCAGGTACCACTGGGATTTTCCCCAACCTGGACGAGGAGCTTCCCAGAACTAGTGGCATTTAAGCTGATGCCCCAAAAGTAAGCAGAAATGAGAGCTTTATTTTGAGGTATTGGGAGCTGCAAAGGGTTATGAATGGGAGGATGACACAGCCTCAGTCACATTCCAGGAAGATTAATTCAGCAGCAGATGTGCAGGACGGGGGTGGGCTGGGGCTGGGGCGGGGGGTGGGCGGGGGTGAGGTCAGGGGCAGGGAGTCTGTGAGGAGGACCTGCCGACAGCCTAGGAGAGAGCCAGAGCTGGCAGTGGAGTCGGGAGGGCAAGGAAGCGCTCCCGGGGAGTCCAAGATGTCTGGATCCAGGAATAAAACCTAGGGGGCAAGAGGAGGAGCTGGGTGGGGGTGGGGAGGCCCAGGTTCTGACTTCAGTTTTCGGTATATTAATGTGAGGAGCTTGCAGGATTTGCAGGGGACCGCATTCCCCTGCAGCACAAGGGCGGGTCTGGAGCTTGGAGCACGGGCAGGATGGGAGACCCAGGTTAGGCATTTCCTTCTGGAGAAAATCACTCAACATTGCAGATTGGTGCCACCATCAGTTCATGTCTCCACCCTGACCTGGGCCTCGGCCCTTGTGTTTTCCTGGCCGGTTCTCTCTCTGATTCCCCAGAAAGGGTGTTCAAACTGGTTCCTCTCCCTCAAACCTTCCCTGAACCCCCTCACTTTCCACAGATGACGTCACCTCCCACTTCACAGGAAACGGAGGCTGTCAGAAGGAGATCTCCTCATCCTGCCGTAGCTAAATCTACAAACCTATCAGCTTGTCTCCCGCCTTGCTTCCTTCACTGCTTTACAGAGAAGGGTCCCTTCTACTCCTCAAGGCTCCTTCCTCCACCCAGCTCTGGGTCCCACCACACTGCTTCTTCTCAGGGACCCACATCAATCAGATGCCTCCTCTTCTTACTCTGTCATTGACCTTTACCTCTCCAAGGGCCCCTTCCCATCGGCATTAAATGAGGCCAAGTCTCACTCATCTTAAAAATGACAAGAACCCTTCCTCAACCTCACCTCCTATTTCAGCTTCCCAGCTGAGAGCCTCAGAGGAATTATCTTTTCTTGCTGTGCCACTTCCTCACCTCCCACTCTTCCCTCAACCCACTGAAGTCTGCTTCCACCCCCGCTGCCCTGAGACTACTTCCTTGTGACCAAATCCTACAGACACGTCTCAGCCTGCATCTTCCTTGACTGCTGCACATCAGCTGGCACTGCTGACTGCTCCTTCTTTGAAATGCCATTTTCTCTGGCTTCCCTCTTCCTGCCCTTGACTCTCTTCTCTCCCTCGCTACCACCAAGCCTCGTCTCACCTCCTAAATATGCTTCATCTGAATGTTCTATCCAGCTCCACCGCCACTATCCTCTTACAAGCCCCTGTCATCCCTCTTCTGGACAACTATAGTCACGTCCAATCCCCACTCTGCAGCCAAAACACTAAGCTGATTTTGTGTGGTCACAGTCTATTTCCTGCTGCTGCAGGTTCTGGGGCCCTATCACCAAACTGATTATGTAAATCTGCTGAAAGCCTGTCATGGAGGTATATCAATTAGGATTACTTTCAGCTGCCTGTGACAGAAAACCCAAATAAACAGAACCTCGAACACTCAAGGTTTTATTCTCTCTTACAAAAGTCTAGAGCCAGAGGTTGAGGGCTGGCCTGATGGTTTCATAAAGTTGTCAGGGACCAGGTAGTTTCATGAAGTTGTCCTCCAGCTTTTCTTTCTTGTCCATTCCCAAAATGTGGCCCTAATTTCCATGGCTCAAGTTCTAGAAACTGTAGCCATCATATTTGCTTTCCAAGAAGCAGTATGGAGGAATGGGAGAGGGGCTTCCCCTCCCCCTGTTTATTTTGACTTCTTTTCTTTTATGGAGACTTCCCTGAAAAACCTTATGATATTTCTATTTATTTGTTAGCTAAAACTTACTCAGAAGGCCAGAGCTAGCTGCAAGAGAATCTGAGAAAGTAATCTTAAATACAGCCTTAGTAATATACAGCCTTAGTAATAAACCTGGGAGTTGTATTATTAAAGAAGAATGGATACTGTGGTAAGCAGCTAGCAGTTTCTGCCATAGTCTGCCCTTTGGCTACCCAAAAATTCATATGCTCCTTTCTTCCCATACATTGAATAATCTCCTTCCATCCCCAGGGGAGACAACCCCAAAGCCTCATGCAGATCAAGACCCAGGATCATCAGGCAATGTGCAGTCCTCTCCTTGGGCTTCAGATGTAGCTCCATATGGTTGTAGACATAAAAACTGAAAGACTTCACCCCATACCCAATATACCAGGTGAAATAGGAACAGGATAACTGCAATAAAGACTCCCATTCAGAAGAGGGAAGCATGGGAAACATATCAGCCACCAGTACACAGCTACAATCAAATGCCAATGGGCTGGAGGACTGAAGACCCTGTTCCAGGCAGTGGAGTAAATTTCTTGGTTAGCCCGTCTGGCACCCCTATTCAGCTCTCTGAGAAGAATTCTTTTGTTAGTGTCTGTGTCTCTGAGCTTTTCCTTTTGGGAGGTTCTTCCTGGTTTATTATTCCCCCTGGTCACCCTTGAAATGGGCATTGGCGAGTGGGCCCCCCTGGGAGCTTCAGAATGTTAGCTCCCTGGGACTTCAACTAGAAGATGGATGATTAGGATGCACCTGCTTCCTCTCTACCTCCTCCCCAATATCCTCCTGACCAGAGATCAGGGCTTTCTCCTCTGGTGTCTCCTTTAGGTAAAACTCTACGACCAATTCTGTCAGGCTTGCTTCTTGATATCTAAGAGGAAGTTAAAAGTATCCAGAATATCCTTAACAAAGACTGTCTTTCAAGACTATTGTCCGGCTGGAAAATCTTATTTTGGATGTCATAAGCTAAATATTACTCGTCTCTTTCTCTGCATTTTTTTCTTCGATAATCCTAATTCCACTTCCAAGGCAAGCAGATGATGGTACTGAAGAGGAAGAAGATCACAGGCACAGAGATGCAAAAGAGAAATGCAAGTAATCCCATTTTTCAAAACAGGATCCTACTTACATCATTAAAGACTTCCTATTTTGCTTAGGGTAAGTCCAAAATGTGTAAGAGAGTTCTTTGGGGTTTGACTCCTGCTTATCTCCCCAGCCTCATCTGATCAAACTCCCAGCCTCACACTTGTCACAATGACCACACCAGACTTTTCTCAGTTCCTTCAACACATTTTGCTCAGGACCTTCCTAAAAGCTTTAGTGTAAAAGCACTAAAAATGTCTGGAAAGCTCTTTACCTCTTTCTTTAGTTGATCAACTCCTATTCATTTCTCAGGTTTTGAATTAAAGGTCACTGTCTTGGGGAGGATTTCCCTGCCCCATGGCCTCCCTCAGAGCACCTGGCATGCCTGTGACTATTAACTATTTTAATGATGTAATAAGTACATCTGTTCCCCATTGGAACATCAGCTGCAGGAGGGCAAGAAAGATGTATGTTCTGTCAGCCTGCCACATCCTTAGGTCATCAAAATCTCTGATCTAGATTAGAAGGATGAGTTTCTAAAATGCAGATCTGCTTGAAACCCTTCAGTGGTTCCTGTTTCCACTCAGGTTAAAGTCAAGCTCCTTTATGGAGCTCCCAAGACCCTGCGTGCTCTGGCCCCATCTCCTCCCACCTGCCTCTCCTCCCCTTCAACGTTCTTCTAGACTGAAACGTCTTTCAGCGTATTAAAGGGGCTGACCCTCTTGCCTACAAGTCTGCAGATGTGCTATGCCCAATTTCCCATGTAGATGACTCTTATTCATTCTTTGGCTCTTAGCCAAGACCTACATTGATTGACTAGTTCATTCATCCTGTTCTAGGTGCCAGGATCTGTGCTAAGTGCTGAGGACACAGGGTGAACAAGACAGACCGAGCCCCTAGTCTCCATGTTATCTTCTCTGACTACCTTCACCCTGAGGCTGGGTTACGTGTCTCTCTTCTGGGTTCTCCTGCTCTCTGAAAAACCCCTAGCAGTGCCTTATCACACTGTTGTAATGAATGTTTACCTGTCCATCTCCTCGCTGGCTCATGAGCTATTTGTTGAATGAATCTATGAACCATCCAAGTCCTCTGCTCGGGTAGTTAAAGGAGATGGGAAATAGCATAGAATGGATGAGCTGGGCCACAGACACTGTGGGCAGGAGGCACAGGACAACGTGGGCCAGAGGGTGGGGACATAGGCACAGGCAGCAGAAGAGGCCCCTGCTCCTCCTCTTCCTCAGGATTTACAGAAGTGTGGTGCGAGAAATGTGCTTGGAGCCAGACAGAAAAGGTCACAATTGTACGATTCCATTTATTCCATTACCAGAATAGTTAAACCCAAAGAGACTGAATGCAAGTTGCTGGCTGCCAGGGGCTGGGAGGAGGGAGGAAGGGGGAGTGATAGCTTAATGGGTATGGGGTTTTCTTTTGGGGTGATGAAAATGTTTTAGAACTAGGTAGACATGGTGGTAGCACAACATTGTGAATGTACTGAATGTCACTGAATTGTACACTTTTAAAATGGTTCATTTTGTTATGTGAATTTCACCTCAATAAGAAAGAGAGAGGAAGAAAAGGAAGGAGAAAGGGAGGGAGGGAAGGAATGAAGGAAGGGAGGAAGGAAAGAAGGGAGGGAGGGACGAAGGAAGAACTTGGAGTTGGAGTGAGGGGTGGGTTTGGGGTTGTTTCTCGCCCTCTGCCAGTCCCTAATGAAGTCGTAGTGCCTCCTCGGACTCTGGGGCTGGCTGCGTCTGCTCTGACAGGAGAAAGGGCCTCCCAGAACCACTTGATTCTTCTCCAGGCACAGAGAAGCTTGCAGCACCTGGACACTGGCCCCCATATGCACCCGGTCACCATGCAAAAGCATCACAAGCTTCTCAGACACAGGGACTAGACGGCTGGCTTTCCTGGATGGGGCAGAAGAGGGATGCTTTGGGACACACCTGCGCCAAGAACTAGGTCTCCAAAGCAATGGTAAGTGTGAGTGTGTTTGTGAGGGCATGAGATTGGCTTGAAGGGCAGTGCGGTCAAAGGGGAACCCCCCCAAAGTGTGGAACCAGAGGGGTGGCTTTCGGGTCCCTGCTCTGCCAACCAATGGCTGTGTCATCTTAAGCAAGTCACTTTTCATTTCTGAATAAAAGTAAAAGCCACAGTCATTGCTGGTGGGAATGCAAAATGGTACAGCCACTTTGGAAGACAGTTTGACAGTTTCTTGCAAAACTAAACATATTCTTTATGAACCTGCAATGGTGGTCCTAGGTATTTACCCAAATGAGGTGAAAATTTATGTCTGCACAAAACTCTGCACACAGAGGTTTATAGCAGCTTTATTCATAATTGCCAAAATTTGGAAGCAACAAAGATATCCTTAAGTAGGTGAATGGATACATAAACTGTGGCACATCCAGACAATGGAATATAATTTAGTGGAATTAGTGGCATTTAATGGAATATAATATTATTTAATGGAATATAATATTCAGCACTAAAAAGACATGAGCTATCAAGCAGTGAAAAGACATGGAGGAACCTTAAGTGCATATTGCTAATTGAAAGAAGCCAATCTGTAAAGGCTACGTACTGTATGATTCCAACTATATGACATTCTGGAAAAGGCAAAACTATGTAGACGGTAACAAGATCAGTGGTTGCCGGGGGTTGAGGCAGGGAGGGGTGAATAGGTGGAGCATGGGGCATTTTTAGGGCAGTGAAGTTACTCGTGTGATTCTATAGTGGTGGATACGTGTTATCATACATTTGTCAAAACTCATCGAATGTGAACCCTCATGGAAACTGTGGACTTTGGGTGATCGTGATGTATTATTGATTGAATGCGGGTTCATCCATTGTATCAAAGGTACCACTCTGGCAGGGGATGTTTATAGTGGGGGAGGCTGTGCATGTGTGGGAGCAGGGGGTATACGGGAACTCTCTGTACGTTCCTCTCAATTTTACTGTGAACCTAAAACTGCTCTAAAAAATAAAGTGTATTAAAAAAAATGGGACCTGAAAAAATAAATAAATAAAAGCGATCGCTGTTGAGTGCATACTCTGCACCAGCACAGCGCTGGCCGAGCATTGCACAGCCACTCTGCATCTAGTCCTCACAACCATCCCCAGGTTACAGACGAGGAAGCTAAGTTCTGACAGATCAGTGACTTGTCTAAGGCCCCCCATTTGGTCATTGAAGAGCCTCAAGCGACTCCGCCGCGAGCTCTTGGCCACTTTTCTGCCTCAGTTGACCGTCAGAATGATGACGATGATAATAACGTCCCTTTCCTGGGTGGTTGTGAGCATTAAATGAGCCCTGGGTGGGGCCGGCCCACGTGGCTTGGTGGTTAAGTGCGCGTACTCCGCTGCTGGTGGCCCGGGTTCGGATCCCAGGCGTGCACTGACATACCGCTTCTCTGGCCATGCTGAGGTCGCGTCCCAAGTACAGCAACTAGAAGGATGTGCATCTATGACATACAACTATCTACTGGGGCTTTGGGGGGAAAAAATAAATAAAAAATAAAAAAAAGAAAACTGCAGGTCCTTCCGAAACACATAAAAAAAAAAAAAATGATCCCTGGGTAAAAAGTCCCTTGTAGAGGTTTTCATAGAAGTTGTTATTGTATTGAGTGGAAGATTAGGAAGTTACTGTGTAAAGTTTATGTGTAATGAGCTCTCGGAAAGAGTTCAGTTTATACTCAAAGCAGTCGCCTTTCTCAGGCCTGAGAGCGGGAGATGGTGTGTGGTTTATGGGGGTACCAGAGCTGTCACCTCCTCTCCACATGCTCCAGGGTCCTGGTGGCCGGCCGGGGCATCCCCACCCATTCCCTGAGCCCGTAGCCCAAAGCCTGGCTCTCAATCAGCAGTGAGATGGAGTGAAAAGGAGCCCGGGTGGCTCCTCCCAATTTTTCATGCTGAAGATGGAACGCAGAGCTGACCCCAAGGGATCCCAGTGTGGGGTTAGCAGCCCAGACACTTTGGAACTGACCGTTCAAGGTTTTAAATCCCCTCTGGGTCACTCGGTAGCTGAGAGACCTTGGACAAGTTACTTAACCTCCTTGAACTTCTATTTTCTCATCTGCAATGTGAGGATTCAAACACCTACTTCATAGAGTTATTGTAAGGATTATGTGAGATAATGACTTAAAGTGACTCAGACGTAGTAAGCCCTGCATAATGATTAATGCTGCCATTATGCAGCCATCCTTCCTTATTACAACACGAGGGAGGTGGAACCCAGAGAGTGGAAGCAGCTCACTCAAGGCCACACAGCCAGCTCGCAGCAGGCCTGAGCTTCCTTGGGGCAACCATTTCCACCCCTGCCTTGATCAGGCCTTTTCTGAGAATCCCTAACTGATCAGATGAATTGATAACCTGCATTTCACCCCCTAATCGGCTGCTCCCCACCCCCATTCAGCAATGGAATCGGAAAACCACAGGATGCTACTATTTCCCAACTCTGTCACTCATTTGCCACAAACTGGGCTGGTTTTTTTGAGCTTCCTGCACGGACGCTCCACCCCTCTTCATGGGAGATGGGTCTCCCTGTGGGAGACAGCTGGGCTCGGAATGATGAATGAATGAATGAATGGCATCAGCACACCTCTCCTTCTCCAGGAGCGATTTGAGCATTCCAAAGCCTCTGGCCTGCTGGACCTGCAGCCAGAACCAGTATCCAGACGCACCCTCCTATCCACCCGCCCCGTCCTGAGTGGAACCTGGCCCATCAGTATTCCCCTGACTGTGATACCTATCCCCTCCTTCTCCAAAAGTGCTGCCTGGCATACAGATCTTTTGTACAATTGATGTGAAGTGAACGTAATTCTGTTTGGAGAATTTCACAACAGCCCCAAAGATAATGCCAGACACTTGGGCACTGTGACACAGAGCTGGGAGCACTGGCTCACGAGAACTGTCTCCAACACCCAAAGCCAGCACAGGGGCCTGGCAGTCCTCACCTGGGCGTATCTCCCCCATGATGTCTCTGCTACTCTGGAACCTCTGCTTTCTTCTGTCCCCTCCTACCACCCAGCGGCCACAGCTACTGCCATTTCAGAGCCCCCACTCCCATAACCACACCCCCATGGACATCACTCCTTCCCCTTCCCTGTGCTAGAGGCCCTGCTGCTGGAGCTGCCCCCATGGGCCTGGGAGCGGGTGTGAGCAGGTGACTGGTGGAGGGTAGGGATATAGTGGTTCTTCTTATAAGGACACCAGTCAGATTGGATTAGGGCCCCACCCTACTGGCCTCATTTAATTTAATCACCTCTTTAAAGGGCCTATCTCCAAATTCAGTCACATTCTGAGGTACCGTGGTTTAGGGCTTCAAAACATGAATTTGAGAGGGACATAATTCCACCCATGACATGTGGATTATCTCACTCAATCTCCATAGTAACCCAGTGAATTAGAACCATTATTATCATAATTTTACAGATAAGGAAACAGGCACAGAGTGGTTAAGTTACTTGCCCAAGTTTACTCAGCAAGTAAGTGGCTGAGCCAGGTCTGAGAACTGCCTGTTCATATCCTTTGCCCATTTTTCTATGAGGTTGTTGTCTGTTCTTTTTGGTTTGCAGGATTCGTGGGTGCTCAGTAAGCACTGATTGATTGAAGGAATGAGTGGGATCAGCTCCCAGGACTCCTAGAATAACATGGGCCAGGCTAAGCCAAGCCTGAAGTCGGGTCATGCCCTCCCCCTACCCCCCCGCCCCCCTGCCCAGGCTGGCAGTGAATGTCTCCAAGGGAAAACCAAAAACCAAGCAGGAGGTGGGTGGCTAGGAGGGCTGGTGGTGGAAGCAAGGTGCCACCCACTATTCGCCAACTGAGCACAATCCTGGGAGACTTCCTGGAGGAGGATGACCTGGTTTCTCCTAACCCTCAGGGAACTATGGCAGACAATTTTGTAGCTTAGAGTATCCCATGGACAGCGCTGAGATGCTGGTGTCAAATCCTTTCACCTGCAATTCCAGACTCCGAATTCCAGGTACTCAGATGTCCCAAGAGAGCCCTTCCTCACTATGAAAGATCCAAGCCAGCTGCAAAGGAGGGATAGCCAGTGACTCGGCCAGCTGTCTCCTGGATGCAGGTGTCTCTCCAATACCCATGGCCGAGGCGGGGCTTGCCTTGACCCAGCCTTACAACTCATTTTGATCACTGTGGCAAAGGGGACAGCTGCCCATAAGGCCCAGGCAGATCTCTGGCTGGCTGCCCAAATTAATAGGAATGTTACCTCTCAGGGAAGGCAGATAATGATGGCCTCGAAGCACTCAGCCCTCAGAGCATGGAGCTCCAGAAGAACTTTCTTGTGTCAGACCCTCAGCATGCTATGGTCCAGGGGTTACCACACA